AAAAAAAAAAGTTAAGCCAGGCACGGTGGTGCACGCCTGTAGTCCCAGCTATTTGGGAGGCTGAGGTGGGAGGATCGCTTGAGCCCAGGAGGTTGATGCTGCAGTGAGCTGAGATTGCAGCACTGCACTCCAGCCTGGGTGACAAAGCAAGACCTCATCTCAAAAAAAAGAAAGCAGGCCAGGCACGGTGGCTCACGCCTGTAATCCCAGCACTTTGGGAGACTGAGTCGGGCAGATCACGAGGTCAGGAGATCGAGATCATCCTGGCTAACATGGTGAAACCCCGTCTCTAGTGAAAATACAAAAAATTAGCTGGGTATGGTGGTCCCAGTACCTGTAGTCCCAGCTACTTGGGAGGCTGAGACAGGAGAATGGCATGAACCCAGGAGGCTGAACTTGCAGTGAGCCGAGATCATGCCGCCGCACTCCAGCCTGGGCGACAGAGCGAGACTCCGTCTCAAAAAAAAAAAGGGAATGTTTTCCTGCTTAGCCCTTAGTTGGTCTGCCATCCCGAGCATGGTGTGGGCGTGAGCTCTGTCTGGCCTGCACCCCATTTGCCGGCCATCTCCGGAGCTGGGCTGTGGCTCCCACTTGCCGCATGGGCCAGGCAGGGTCGCAGTTCCCCGTCCCGTGTGACTCTCCACTGTGTCTCCTGGGCTTGGTGCCTGCTGGGCTGCACTGTACACTTGTGTTCACGTAAACAAACGTTCTTTCTCCTGCAAACATCCACTTGAAAAGCGCCCTTTGTGAAGCATGTTTGCAGGTTTCAATCCTTTTTCCTGGGTTTCGTGGAGGCCTTGGGCCGTGTTCTTGCCCTGGCAGGTGCCTCTTCTGGGGGCCCCTGCTTGGTAAAGGCAGAGCCGGGACATGTGGCCACTGCCTCTGGTTCCTTCCACGCCCACCCAGCTGAGCTGCTCTGCCCTGGGGCCAGCTGATGGTCCAAGGAGGACGCTGGGGTCTGGGATGCAGTCCAGGCCCTTGGCCTGGGTGGGGGTGGCGCCTGCACTGCTGCCGTCCTGGGCTGTTGGTCTTCGCTCTGCACCAGGCCTGGCTTGGCTCAGTGTCTCAGAGCAGGTCCAATCCTGGCGAGACTGCCAGGACTGCTACCTCAGGAACCACCTCCAGGAATGTCACAGTGTTCCCCCATCCTCACGGTCACACTGCCGCGTGTCCCATCAGCTCCTAGGTGCAGCCTGGGCAGCTGTTTGCAGGCGGAACCTCACTTTGCCCAGCTCCGGACCTGTGCCCTGATAACGCTTGCACTGCCCAGCTGGGGCACCACCCCCTTCCGAACCAGGCGTGCCTTCCCACATCTTTGCCCCTGGGGCTGAGCGCCTCATGGAAAAACCCTCCAGAAGTTTCTGTCTGTTTTGGGGAGTTGGCGAAGAACAGTGGCAAGCAATCAGTGTTTTCAGTTTATTAGCGCTGGCCCTAGACTTACACAAAAGAGAAGCTGCTGATTGCTAGTTAGGACCAGACTTTTGGCACTGGTGACGATGTTGCAGGCCCCCTGGCGTGGGTCCCCTGGGGCCTGAGCCCTCCTCGCAGCCCTGCGGGGCCCCTCTGTCCTCCTCTGACACCACATCCACCCAGCATGGGTTCCTCTCCTCCCTGCCCTTCTGCCCCCCTCAGACCACAGGACAGTCTCAGCCAGGTCAGAGCCAGCCTGGGCTCCCCACCACGCAGGCCTTCCTGCTTCTGTTACTGTCACGAGCTCCACACTGCCCTCACCCAGGAGGTCCCGTCCTGCAGCCTGGTCTGCCGAGCTGGCTCCGGGGCTGGCATGTGAGCCAGGCTGCTCAGCCCCCTAACACGTGTCTTTTCTTTTGACCTTCTCAGCCAAAACAGAGTGGAGTACGAGAAAAGGGTCCGAGCACAAGCCAAGAAGTTTGCGCCCTCATAAGCAGCGACCTTGTGGCATCGTCAAAAGGAAGGGATTGGTTTGGCAAGAACTTGTTTACAACATTTTTGCGAATCTAAAGTTGCTCCGTACAATGGCGAGTCACCTGGGGGGGTTGGGCGGGCGCCATCTTCCATTGCCGCCGCGGGTGCGCGGTCTCAATTCGCTGAATTGCCCGTTTCCATACAGGGTCTCTTCCTTCGGTCTTTTGTATTTTTGATTGTTATGTAAAACTCGCTTTTATTTTAATATTGATGTCAGTATTTCAACTGCTGTAAAATTATAAACTTTTATACTTGGGTAAGTCCCGCAGCAGCGAGTGCTCGCTCCGGGATGCAGGCATGCTTCTCACCGTGCAGAGCTGCACTTGGCCCCGGCTGGCTGTATGGAAACGCACCCTCCCTCTGCCGCTCCTCTCTAGAACCTGGGCTGTGCTGCTTTTGAGCCTCAGACCCCAGGTCAGCATCTCGGTTCTGCGCCACTTCCTTTGTGTTTATATGGCGTTTTGTCTGTGTTGCTGTTTAGAGTAAATAAACTGTTTATATAAAGGTTTTGGTTGCATTATTATTGAAAGTGTGAGGAGGCGGCCTCCGAGTGTCCCGCCCTCCCCACCTGACTGCAGCCCCACCGCGGGCCAGGACCAGGCTCTCCCATCTGCTTCGGATGTGCCCAGGCTGTGTCGCTCCGTCTTGCCCTGGATCTTTGTCAACAGGGCTGTGTACAAAGTGCTGCTGAGGTTTCTGTGCTCCCGGGATCTTCGGGCTGTAGAGCGCTGGGCAGCTAAGATCTACATAGGTCGGGATTGGCGTTGAGACCCTGACAAGTGTGCACCGGTGCCAGCTGTCTAGAGGGCCACAGGGCCAGGTCCAGACCAGGGCTGGAGGCTGTGTGAGGACTCCTATCCAGGCAGCCTGCTGGCGGGGGTGCCCCTCAGTGGCCGGGTCACAGGGATGGAACCGTGCTGTGCACAGGGTGCCACCTCGGGTGTCTGTGTCTCACGTCCTCCGGAGGCAGCCTTGCTACCACCCCTGGCAAACACGGGGTGCTTTCTCCAGGAGAGCCCACAGCCATGGCCCCCCCAGGGAGCGCCAGGTGGAGGGCCCTGGGCGGCCTGTGTCTGGAATTCTTCGTCCTGAGGTTACCTGAGCATGGCCTCTCCTGGGGAGGCTGTGCCACTCAGAAGCCGCCCTGATGCTGAGCCCTCTGCAAAGGCTGGGCCGGCCAGGCCTCTTGGGGCTGCCTGAGCCGTGGTTGAACCGCTGTAAGAAGTGGCCTGGCTGTGAAGTTGGGTGCCAGTCACCTCCTAGCAGGAAGGTGCAGTGGACAGAGATGGGAAGCCCTGGGGGACACAGCCCGACGCTCCCAGCCCTGCAGCCTCCGACCCACCACCCAGTCTCCGCATCCTAGTGAGCTGGGCCCTCCTCAGTCTCGTTTCAAGCCCTGGGGCTGGAGCTGGCCCTGCTGCCCTGGTGCGCCCCAGCAGCTGGAGCTGGGTCCCGGTGGCCCAAGTGCAGGGTTCCAAGGGGGCGGGGCAGGTGCTCCCCAAAGGAGCCAAGAATGCAGGGAGGGCTGCGCAGAGCCCTGGGAAGGGGAGCACGGCTGCTGTGGGCCGGGAATCGAAGTTAGAGGTGACTTCCGAAGGCCCCCCCGAGCCGGCAGTGCCCCCCGCCCCCACCAGCAGCTCTGCAGTGCCAGTGCCTTGTTCGCTTTCCTGGTTACGTGCCCTGCAGTCACTGAGCTCTCAGTCTGACGTGTGTGGTTTGTTTATAAAGCAGGGGGCCTTACCTGGGGAATTCAGCTGGTTTGAATATTTGTAGCCCGCTCCCAGAATGTCTTATTTTGTAACGACTGAACTACATTTAGTAATAGTTACACATGTATATGGTTAATATATATGGAAATTCAGTATATTTTGTAGTTAACGTATTCTAAAGTAACGGATGTTTCTAGCCAATCGTAGTGACTTCAGCTAATGAAATGTTCCTTTTGTGGTACCACAGTCCTCGGCCTAACGAAGGACGTGAACCTTGTAACAGGAGAGCTCTGAAACGCGGTTACCTTTGTTTAGCGGAAGGGAGAGTGTGTTCCCGGCATGAGGTGCCTCGGAATTAATAAAGAATTGTGGGTGATGGGTTTACCACTGTATCTAAGAATCCACCAATTAAAGCATTTGCACAGACTGCGGCCTGCTGGGTGTGTCCTTTTCTGCCCTGTCCCTGGCTCCCCTGGCTGTAGGGGTGGGAGCCCACTGGTGCCACAGGGCCACTCCCCCCCCATCCGGAAGTCCAGCCCTACACCCCAGGGTTTCCTTACGGTCCTGCCTCCGGCCCTGTGTTAACCCCTCCGGGTGATACCCCTCTAGCCAAGGTGACCCCCAGGCTCAGGGTCTGTTCGCCTGCACCTCCCTGGCCTGCTCTAGGGGACTCCTCCCTGGGGCTCGAGGCTGCTCTTGCTGCCCCTGGCAGGGGACTTCCTTGGGGAGCAGGGACCCCGGGTGCCCAGAGCTCTCCTCACAGGGCCCATCCAGGGCTGGCTAGAGCCACCAGGTAGGAGTCTGGTGCACAGGTGCAGGAACCCCAGCCCCTGTGGGATGGGCTAGCCAGGCCTGAGCTGGCGCTCGGGGAGCCCTCCCTTGACTTTGGCGGTCGGGCTGGCCACACGTGCCCTCCGCCTCTCAGGTCCCTTGGGACTTGGGTGTGGCTGGGCTGGAGGAGGCTAGGAGATTTGGCCACCATTCTGGCCACTGCCCCCGGGGACACAAGCTCCTGGCCAGGCTGCTGGTCCCCAGGTCCCGTCACCTTCCTGGACCTGAGGCCCGGTCCCGCCATCACTCCCGGGTGCCACTGATGGGAAGCCTCCCTTGTGGTTACCATGACAACAAGTTGCCAGGTTGGAGGGCCTTGCACTGACTCAGACTGGCTGGAACTGGTTTGAGCCAGCTCCAGCAGGGAGGGGCCTGGGAGTGCTGGGTTTGGGATCAATCCCCAGCTGACCCTGATTCTGGGTCTGGGGGCGTCCTGAAGCACCTGCTCAGGAGAGGCAGCCTGAGACCCCCCAGGCACCCCCTGGTCTGAGGAAGCCGTTGGGCCCAGTTGGGGTGGGGGCTCCTGGCTTCGGCCCATTGGGTGGGAAGGGGCTGGGACAACTGGTCCCATCCACCCTGCCTGTCTCCGGCCCAGCCTGGTCCAAAGGCTCCTGCACCTGCCAGGAGCTTGTCCAGCTCTTAGGACAAAATAGGAATGGGCTCAAAAAACCACCGCGCACATGTGGCCTGGGCTGTTCCTTCCCTGGGACTCTGCCCTTCCTCCAGGACGCCCTTCACCGAATAAGGCAAGTTCCCACTCCTAGATGCGGACTGTGCCTTATTTATTTATTTACTGATTTAGAGATAGAGTCTCACTCTGTCACCCAGGCTGGAGTGCAGTGGCGCGATCTCGGTTCACTGCCATCTCCGCCTCCCAGGTTCAAGCAATTCTGCCTCAGCCTCCCAAGCCTGGGCTGTGCCTTTAAGGAGGGACTCTGAGGCTGGGCACGGTGGCTCACGCCTGTAATCTCAGCACTTTGGAAGGCCAAGGTGGGAGATCACCTGAGGTCAGGAGTTCAAGACCAGCCTGGCCAACACGGCAAATGCCCATCTCCATTAAAAATACAAAAATTAGGCCGGGCATGGTGGCTCACGCCTGT